AAAACAATGCAAAGCACTCCTCAAAACAGCCTTTTGGAAACACACTTCACACACTGAATGCAAGGTCGGACTCCTGGGCCTGCTACCAAGGACAACTCAGTGCCTTGGCTTCCAAAATCAACCCATTACACCCTCGTGCTCTTATCAGCCATCCTGCCCAACACAATGGCACTGGGCACACCTGCGTGCACTGCACACACACACCTCACGCTATATGAGGAGTGCACTAGTGCCTTACCTTTTCTTAGCTGTATACTGAGCCTCTTCCCTATTTTTTTGGTGTTATACCCACTGTTTGCAGTGGAGGTGAGAACTTTCTGAGGTGATGGTACCAGGCCAGAGGGTGGTTTCCCTGATGAATTCACACTATGAGGTAGCTGCGAGTAGGAGTCTGTCTGATCGGGCTGGTTACCCGCTCGAGACATTCTTTGTAATGTGTGAAGTCCAGAATTGTTAATACTTTTCCCATCAGCATACTGGGAATCGGGGCTGAACCGGCTGGAGTAGTACATGTTCTTCTCGCTTTGGGACAACTGTTCGTACTGCTCTTTATTTGCCGCAGGGACCACGTGGAACCAAATGAACGGCGTACGCATGGCTTGGCGAAACATATGCTGTGCTCTAGGTTTTAAAATGAACAGAAAATTAGCAAATTAGGACTGGCAGGCTACAAGGCATTATAAGCATAATTACTAATGTTAATTAAGCAACACGAGCTGACAGACACATTGCACTCAAGCATAAACCATAAAGCTTGAATCTGTTCACTAGTCTATTTGGTCTGCTTTTCGCTAAGGTTTATTGCTTGAGGGCAACACAATGGTTAAATATGCTTAACAACTAATGTAGCAAATACTGAATTCAGAAAGGCAAAAATTTTAACCACAGTCTTGAAATGCAGACAGTTCTGTAGCAGGACTGCAGTGCCCTTTTGTTTTGAACTTAGCTAATTGCAGTAATTGTGATAACAGTAATCACAGTGACAACAGAATTATTAGAATTAAAATTACACTTTGTAAAAAAACTATGTATTCCATAATTTGGTGATTATATGCAGTCCTGCAACTAGTCTAGTTTACACTCTAATTTTTGTAAGTCAGTAGTCTTACAGAATATAACATTAAGAAATAGGAAAAAAAAATGCTCAGTCCTGTACAGACAGACATTGGGCTCTAGGTCATGATCCAAAGTATACAAAGTCAACAAGTCTCTTCACAGACTTTACAAATTGTGATTCAGAACCATAGAACAATCAGAGACAAGCTGCTTTCAACCATATGGTACAGGGTTATGTTCCAATTCAGGTTAGAGTCAAAGAAATTTAAAACACATTTCAAATATACATTAAATACAAAATGATCAGAACAAATGATATACCTTTGGTCCTCAACGTGTTATGGATTTCAGAACATTATTATCATCTTTGAAATTACTCATTTTGTGCATACCTCTTTTCTGTTTTTTTCTTTCGATTATCTGTGTGTGAACTACAACCTTATTTCATTCTTAAAAGTCTTTCATCTTTCTGATTCACTACTTCAGGATTCTACCAAGACCAGACAACAACGGAGCAAATATTTATCTCTCAGACTTCTGCAAGAAGTTTCGGCACATAGTACCTACAGTTCTCACGCACACAAAACCACACATATTTTTAAAATGTTAAAAATATGCTGTCCGCTTATATTGAACAGGGTGCATTGCAAGTATAAGAGCAAAATTCATATAGGAATTTCAGGATAAACAGTTTACCACTGTAAGAAAAAATCTATGATGTACAAAAATCAATCAAATGAGAATTGCATATACTCTTAACGACAATAATTCTCCTTAATTTTTTCAGTCTGACTAAATATAAAACACAAATGTCCCTTAGTGTATCTTTTCTGTATTAGAAAGGTAAGCTTAAAGATTTTTTTCTTACCTTCCTCAAATTACTGCAAGGTGCAGTGTTAAAGATCAAATAATGCAACGTAATGTGTAGTAAGAACACTTACTGTTCAAATCTCCTATTCCGAAGGTCTCCATCATTAATCCTGACAATACAATCATTCTCACGAAAAAGGTTTTCTTGTTCAGCTTTTCCACCCTTCTCCAATCGCTTCACCAGCAGCCCCAGGGTTCTGGAACATTAAGATTACAAATGATTACTGTTTGAAAAATTTGCAACATAGAATATCCTACTGATTTAATGTTTTATCACAATCACTATAGAAACTACATCTTTACCTTGAAGTAGGGTACCATAGTTTCAAATAACTTACAAGCATTACCTGAATTACTATCCCTTTTCCATAAAACAGAAAGCCTAGGTGAATCAAGCATGTCAAAAGTAAGAACCAACAGGTAGTATGATGATAGCATGTCCATTCTTGCATAAGGCCAAGATTTCTGAGCAGTAAGAGCTCAGAAGAGCTCTGAGAGACAGCATTTTTTCTGCTAGTTAACTGAAGTTGAACAGGTTCAACTTAAAATATGAATTTCTGAATTAGCAGAGAATACCACAGCCATCACTACTCCTTCTGTGTAAGTGAAACGTGGAGTCATCTCACGTAATAAGCAGCCTATAATGAAGGAATTGATAGAGAATTCAGGAACTTCATGCAAACCAAATGCTTTTATTTTTATATCTTAACCTTTTTTTTTTATTAAACAGCAAAGAGAAAATTAAAACTTAAATACCATTTTTTAATTCAGTATCTTAAAATAATTAACTGAAGATACTTTCCATTTGATAGCTTCTGTGCAATGAGTTAGTCATGTCCGTCTAGTGCTTACCCACGGTGTCATCTTAAGGACATTCTTACAGAGAAAAGATAAAAAATATTCCACCTGAAATTATGAAATTGATCCTGATTTCAGAGGTACTGTCAGGATAGCATGAAAAGTCAGTGATGTTTTTATACCTGAACTCCAGGTTTGAAGAAGGACTCAATCTTCAGGATTATTCTTGCATTGACACTGCACTTGATTTTTTTTAAAGATCAGCTTTACATTGAAATCCCGCAGGATGTATCAGTGGGTCAAATTCACATCGTTCAAGTCAATAGCATTACTTTTTCAGAAGTCATTTCAAGGTATGGCGTGGAAAACACTTGGTTGTGTAGCAGGAATTGCAAGACCACATATGTCTTTTAGCAGAAAAACCTTCAGTGATCACAGCACTTCAGTTCACACATACCTCAGTAAATGAGCAGTCGACGATGCTTAAAAGGATTCCTCATGTGCTCAGAAGTTATATATGCACTTGAGCACTTAATCAAACAGGTTAGAAAAGTAAAATTAACTTAACTTATTTCTTCCACTTAAAATTCTTCATTTACCAATTTATCACCAACATATGCAAATGAGACATTTATTTTACAGAACAGTCATACATTTTCTCCTACAAGGCAGATGAAGAGTAAGAGAAATGATCCTAGTAGTATTTCCACTTTGGAAGCACCTAGAGACATTAAGATATGATGTCAAAAGGATCTAAACATGTAAACAGACTGTGAGAAGAAAAACAACACAAAGCATTCTGACAACAAATCATCAAATGAAGCTTGAGTCAGACATTAACATTTAAGTGATACTATTCTGCTTTCAACTGACAGGAAGTGTTTTGCAAATACCTAATTAATTGCACCTTTGACCCATCTGGGGTCCCATTAGAGGCAAACTTGTTCCACTCTCATTTGGTTCCCAACGGGACTGCTTGAGTACATTAACTGATACTAACTGTGACTGGACTTGAGTTCAGGTCAGCTGCTGGAATTAGCTATCTGTCTCTTTGCAGTAACACTGGTGAGCACGAGGAACAGGGGGATTCCATAAAGTATCATTTCTCTAAAATACATGCATTTCTGAAAATTTAAAAAAAAAAAAAAAATCTGGAAAACACAAACACTAGTTTGAATCTAGTTCTATCCCTCCCTATCACAAGTTGATGTTCTTTGTGTTTGGAAAGTTCTACCATTTGTAGATAACAACGCAGTAACTCTCATTAAATAGGAAAATGATTTATCAAAAACGAACTAAATTTTTGCAAATTTTCTAAAGCAAAACCAATTCTTTCTTGCTTGCTTTTTTTCTGTTCACCAAAGCAGCACAGCCCCTTGTATTATCTAGATATTTTAAGTGGTTTTCTGTTTGCCTTTCCCACAACCCTCTAATACTTTTCATGACAAAAAATTCTAAAAGTCCACAACAGTGGCACACTAACTCAATGACAAGGTTGTGCTCCATTTATTGTACTAAAACTTTCTGATAATTATGAAGGTAAGTTGTCACAGGAGTAAAACAACAAATTTTTAAATATCAATTAAATCCTTATTTTCATTCCATTCACTAAAATAAGCTTTGAAGGCAGTCTTGGATTTTGAAAACCAATCCATAATTATAAAAAAATTGTAGACTGATAGTTGCAGAAAGAACTGAAGTAACAGGAATATTAATGATAAAAATAAAAAATACTTATATGCCTTCACTGCATTATTTGTATCATAAATATAGTTTTGAAAATTTGTAAATAATCTCATTAGACAAAGGCTACAAATTCTGCTAATGCAAGACTGCTCATCTCAGACTCGCATGTGGTCCTCACAAGGATTTTGCTTTTTAACAAATATTAGAGCTAAGTTAACCAAGGCATATAAAGCTAAAGCCACTGAGAACAGAGTTAAGGCTGGATGAACAGTCTGAGTCAAACCTAAAACCAGGATCCTCACAGTGCCTTTTAATTCTTTTAATTTTTATATAAAGACATGGGGCAAAAGATCCCTTTAGACACAGTTCCAGAAACAAATTCCAGAATGAGATTCTGTGTAGCAGAGGAAACTCTAATAGAACTCGAAGAAAATGTAGTTCCTAAATACTTTAGTTGCAAAAGCCTACCAATTTCCTATAGCACTTTTTCAGCATATTGTGGTTAGATGTAAGAATACAACTCTAAAAAAAGGCAGTAGGGGAATTGATGTTTGCTGTTGCACTAACTAGAGATAAACAGAGTAGACTTGATATTGCAAATATGCAATAATCTAAAGAGTAATTGGATTATTTTCCCTGCTATATGCTACCATCATTAATCCTGATAAGTGGAGATGTGGCTCTATTACAGCTTCAATATTATGTTTCCTACATTAGGAAGACATAAATTTTGAAAGCCTGTAAACTCATCTAGCATAAAGTACAAAAGTCAGTATATATTTTTCTAAGCACAATCATGTAGCATACAAATGTATGGGTGCATTTGAATTTGCTTAATCTTGTCCAGGTAAAGTAAGTCAACACGGTTTCTAACAAAAATTCTTCCATTATAAACATTTTAAACTCTAACATTTTCAAGAATGAGATTAAATATCATGAAACCCTTCGCAAAACACTCTGCAAGTCTACAATCCTGTTGAAACAATAATTATAAGTGGAAATTTGGTACCTGCGCTGCTTTAGACTAACATTAGCTGACATAGGGACAGAAGGGAAATAGTGCCAAAGCAAAGAGCTCAGTCTTTGTATTTGTTTTAAATACTTAATTGGGAATGTAAGCAGCTGAGATTATATTAGTATTTGCACCACTGTATTTCCACAAGGTTCATTACTCTAATTATACTCTTAAAATAAACTCAGCTACATGTGTTAACATTTCATTTCTCAGTATAAATTACAACCAATGATAAAACTAGAAATAAGCATGTGAATGTTTTATTGACATCTAAATTGCCTGAGTTAGTCGGGGTAGTTCTTGAAATGCGAACTCCCCACATGCCATCCAGATGTATGGAAATGATGATAATTTGTCTTAATAAAAACTGACAGTGTAAGTAAAAATAAAAACTGACATTTAGCATCTAGAATATGATTTGACCATCACAGCCCATTGTACGTACACACTGAAGTTATTTACCTATTACCTGCAAGCTAACTGTAATGTAATCAGACAGAACAGAAAATAACCAATTTAGATGTTTATGTAAAGTCTCTAACATGAAAAGGCAAAAACTAGATTAAGTGACAGAAATAAGGATTGATTGAAAAGCTGATGTGAAGCAGCTTCACAGAATGAAAGATCTCTGAGAAGTTCTACAAGAACATAAACACAGTATAAATTTCCTGGATTCAGAGGTCAGGGTAGGCAAATCAGCTTGTTTGTTCAAGTTAAATTATCGTGGCTGCTCAGTGCTAAATTGGACATAAACTCCTCTGCCCAATATTGACGTCACAGAGTTACTGTGGAGACATCAAAATAACTTTATCAGATTTCATACCTGAAGTCCGGAACCAATTTCCAGTCTTTGGTAACTACTCCTCAGCCTTTTAGTTTGAGTAATACTTCAAATTAAGCTTACAAAAGTTTTTTTAAGGCTGAGATCAGACAGTCTTGAATTCAGATACAAGAGTGAAGGAATGGTACATTCACATCATGGACAATTTTTTTCCTCATACATATGTTTTGACAACCATGGCTACCTTTGAGACTTAAAAAGCTGGAAATGAAGAGAGGAATAAATGGAGAGGCAGGCAGCAGATACCTCCTAGTTGATCAAACAGAATATGATCGTTAGAGAGGCACCTTGAAGGCAGTATTATGGACTCTCCACATAGACAAGGGCCATTAGATATTACTTGTGTTTTCTTTGCATTTTCTATAAAAAATTAAAATTTTTACAGTGACACATTAAGTGATTAATAAATTCCAGAAAATTAAGGATAATTTCTCTAAAAGTAAAACAAACCAAAAAACCACCTACAGAATGGAAAAAGTATGAAACTTTTTCTAGCAAGGATCTGTGCATGTTTCAATGCCTAACTTCATTTGAGATTTATCTCTTCTTTTAAATAAAATCTGTTAAATTCATCATTTAAAATGAAAAAAATCAGTTTCTTTTTTTCCATTCTTCTGGGACTTCCTAATAGTTTAAAGACATTTAGGATATAAAACAAAAAGACAGATTAAATATTTTTAGCTGCCAGGGTTTAGAGGTACAGTGCATCATGGATTTTGTGGCGCATGTCAATAGGAAGAACAGCTGGTAGAGCCGTAGGTACCTCTCTGTATCAAAGTAACATGTCTGATACTTATTAGCGGATGTTCACAGTGAGGTTTTCAGATGAATATCCAAATCCTTTTCTGTTCTGTTTT